TAGGCATCCTTTCCCTTCCCCCACTACTACATTCACATCACATCCATCCATCCACCCACATTGCCACATTGCCCGGCCAAATTTCACAACTCCTCCCCCTTCTTGATAATTGCCAGTTCAAATTTCTTTCAAGGGGAAACCTTTCCAACTTCCCGCCTGGTTTTCTTATTCTGTCATTCTTTTCTAGATCCTAGACCCCCCCCCCCAAACACACCGACCCACAAACCCGATATGGCAAACCCTTCATCAGGTGATGCCGCTGGCTCGACAGGAGCTTCACCAACCGGGCCCTCGCCCAACTCGGTCAAACCGTCGCCGAAGTCATCATCATCAAACGCGCCCCATTCCGCCACTCCCACTTCGGCCCAGGCCCAATTCCACAGGTTCAGGTTGTCGGAATTCAGTCGTGTTGAGTCCAGCCCTACGAGCGCTTCGCCCGGCGGCCACTGCTCGCGCTTTCGCGTTACTGATTTCGTCCCATGGGCCTCACAGGCTGATCCTCCCCCGCCGCCTCCACCACCCCCTCCAGGTGTTGCGGTGAACGGCGGGAGGTCCGCGTCGGACGGCTCGCCTTCATCCGCTACCACTCCGCGGCCGGGAAGTTTCTCAGTCATGCACATGGACGTGGATAATTCGGGCCCACAACAAACAAGCAGTTCCGTGACAGCGGCGGCGGGATCGACTAGAGGTGTTTTACAGAAAATTACGGTACCCTCTGCCCAGGCGCAGGGATTGAAGCAAGCTGTGAGTAGTATTTTTTTTTTTTTTTGTGGTTTTATTCCTTTACTTTTGCAGCCCTATCCCCACCCCCCCGGGAGATTTTGTGAGGGAAGGGGGATCGGAAGATTACACGTTTGTGTTGGGATGTTTGCGGGAAATTTGTTCTGATTTTGGGGTCACGGTTTATGCAGTTACCAATTCACCCGCGGCCTCTCGCTCCCTCCCCGATCACGACCAATGGTATGGTCCCCTACAACCCTGCTACGGTTCCACAGGAAGCGGTTTGGGAGCTCTCTCGTGTTCTGAATATTCTACGTAATACGGCTCCGGAGATGGTTGTCAAGATCATCTCGGACGCTTTGATTAGTTGGCCGAGTGTCTTGGAGGGCAGTCTCCTCCGCCGCATTGGTGAGATTTTTCCACCCTTACCAGCCCCTAGTCCAGGAGTTCCCGGGCCATCAAACAGCGCTGCTAGTCCTCAGGAACCTCCCAAGAAGAAGAAGCGTGGAAGACCGCCTGGGAAGAAAACCAAATTGAATGACGGCAGTTCCGCAACCGTGCCCATTGCAGCTAATCTAGCCTCTATGCCACCCCCGCCGTTGCCGTACATTGCGCCCGGTCCACAGGCTCAGCTAGCCCCTGTGGCGCCACCGCAACCACCACCAACCTCTGCTAAGCGCAATCAGGCGGATGCGGGGAAGCTGCTCCAATGCACGCGTTGTTTGAAGTATTTCAATCCTACCTGGAGGGCTACGCCCGCCTCTGATCCTTCCTCGGAAGCTACATGCGCGGTTAAACACCCGTTCAAAGACTTTCCATCGGGTCTCGAGGTGGTTGCTCCTGCTAGGCGCAAGAATAATTATAAGACTACCTGGAAATGGAAGTGTTGTGGGAGAGAAGTGCAGAGCACGTCTAATGAGCTGTTGATGTGGCCGAGGAAGGAGGATGACAGGACGGGCGGGTGGTGCTTTGTCGGGAAGCATACTACTGAAGCTGGAGTGAGGGAGAAGTTGGGATTGAAGCCGGGCAAGGGGAAGAAGATACATGGTGATGGAGATAAGAAGCACAAGGGTGGACAGGGGGATTCAGGGGATCATTCACAGGCGAATGGAGAACAGGAGGATCCGAAGGAAGAAGGGTGGACTATGCTTCCTGGGGGTGGTAGAAGTATAGCTGGACCGGCCGGGGGAATGCAGCAGTATAGCGGGCATCCGCAGCAGCAGCAAGTTCAGCAGCCGCCACCGCCGTCTCCGCAAGGGCAGCAACCCACGTATCCACAACAACAGCAGCAGCATTGCCACCAACAGCAGCAACAGCAACAGCAACAAGTGGAAGATTCGCCGGACAGTCCGCCAAAGCGTAAGCGCGGAAGGCCAAAAGGAAGTAAGACTCGCAGCAAGGCTATGCCGATTTCAACATCAGCGGCTTCATCTTCGACTGCAACTGTCACAGCCAAAGATCCCACCGCCTCCACCCCCACTCAACAACACCCGCACCGTTCTCACAATCAACAGCGTGCCCACCCCCAGGACCAATCCTCCTTCTGGACACAATACACCGAACCAACTTCTACCTCAAACACCTCTCCCCGCCACCAACCCCCAACAACCCTTCCGGCCGCCAGCCCTTCGACTACAACCACTTCCCCCGCAACTCCGCAAGCTCCACATCATCCTCATCATGCTCGCCACCCCCACCCCTCCCATCATCCTCTGGAAGACCCAGCAATCTCGACCGCAGATCTTACCCTCCTCGCAAGTGCCACCGCCGCAATGACCGGCACCAGCAACAATCCTTCTTCCTCCAACCAGCCATCCACCTCGGATGCAAACACCACAACCACCGACATTCCGGAAAAGCGCAAACGCGGCCGTCCAAAGGGGAGTAAAAACGGTGGTAAAACCCTCGACGCAGGAGGAACTGCTACTACCGGCGGGAATAGGGGACTACGCATGAAGGGACAACAGCAGCAGCAGCAACCGCAGCAGCCGCAGCAACAACAGCAACAACCGCAACAACCGCAACAGCAGAAAAAGGTTGAAAGAGCTGTTATCCCAACAGTTCCTGAAGAAATCGAAGTTGTCGATGAAGATGACGACGAAGAAGAAATGGAGGATGAGGAAGAAGAGGAAGAGGAAGAGGACGAGGACGAGGAAGACGAGGATGAAGAAGAGGAGGAGGAAGATGCGGTCGGCGAAGACGACGTCGACGTCGACGCCAACAACACCACTAGTAATGCCGCCACTAGCACCGCCGTCCCAACTACCGGATCGAATACAGCCGAAGTCGGCGAGGAAGTGGAGTTCGGCGTTAGTGTCGGCGTGGGTGTTGGCGTGGGAATGGGGATGAGTGGCATGGATGGTTATGCGGGCCTTGGCGGGGGTGATGGTGGGGGGTGGTTTGGATAGTTCAGTTAGTTTCGTGGTCTTAGGGAGGAAGGGAGCGACGGAGGAGGGGTGACAAAAAATAGCTGTTTTTCTTTCCTTTTCTCCCCTTTTATTGGGTTTCGCTATTGTGCTGCTTGGTATTACTTGGTCTCGTGGCTATTACATTTTGCCTTCCCCTTTTTTTCATTTTCGCTCTACTCTACTCTACTTTACTTTACTCATTTTACTACTTAACCTTTTTTCTCTTCTTTCCTTTTCATTTCTTTCTTTCTCTCCCTTGCTTGAGTACTTTTCCCGTGTGCGAGTTTCGTCTCCATCTGTCCGTCTGTCCGTCCGACATTCTAGTCATCGCTTGTACTGTGCTCTTTTGTACCGTGTCCTAACTAGTTGGTCAGTCAATCCGTCAATCAAAGCCAGGCAGAATTGGCTAGGAAGAAGACGAAATGAATCAAACATGGGGATATTATACATACGCATAGCAAGCTGTTTGCGCGATTGAATGATGGGAGTTAGCTGTGTATTGTAGATTATATTAATATTTGGCTATCTGAGTGGTAAGTTTGGTGCGGTGCTGGTAAGCAGTTAGTTTTTTGATGAGAATCCGAATCGTGATGTTGGGATAGGGTGATTGGGTTTTAATCGATGGTATTGCACTTGGGGGGGGTTGTAATTTATCGATCGTTGTTGGATAAACCTACTCTGCCCACTGCATACAATGGTTTTTTTTGAGCGGTCAATGGTGTGAATGTGTACTAGTACAGGTGGGGGGTTTCTAGCTAGACATTGTGCTGGTATTGCTCATTAATGTATGTATGATATTATGATATCATACTATAGGTAGATTTACCGTAGTTGGTGTCGAGTTGGTCTTGCCCAAATGTTACGTCGTCATGATTCTGCACTCGATTTTTGATCGCAGAGAGTATTGATTTCTAGGAGAGGTTGATCATTTTCATAAGGTGTCACTCGAGGGACAGTGTGCGTGGTTAGGTGGGCAGGTATGATAATTTTCGATAGCCTGTACCATATGCATACTGGCGATATGCAGCGCTCTGGTAGTATAGTTCGCATTGATACAGAAGGACGTATACAGCGGGGGGGCAAAAATATGTTCAAATTTTTAGTAAGCCCAAGCAACTATTGCCCCCCCCCCTGTATATCAACAGTCACCTGATCGAATCTCCATTTCTTCCCCTTCAATCATACTCCCCGACACTATCCGTTCCTAGAACGGTAGAATCCAGCTTTGAGCCACCCCCCTCCCCCTCTCTCACCTCTATACAACCCCGCACCCACTGCCCTCTAAAATTCCCTGGCCAAGAGCCAATTTCTTGAACTGGCTTCACGGGAAAATATGATACTCTAGAGCGAGCCCCCCAGCAGGTCTCGACCACCGTCGTAGAACACCTCTGGACGGATTCGCCCACACCCGCACCTCCGCTAATCTTCTCCGGGTCCTCTGCGTGATCCCCAAAACGCCCCTGGAGGACATGGGATGATCAACAACAGCAGCTTTGAAGTTATCCACCTGGTAGGCAAAATACCCCCTTGGTTATTAGTATTTTTTTTTTTTTTAAGAAAATCTCTCCCTCTGTATACATTCTCCCGGCGCTCACCAGTTCCACAGTCTCGAATAGTGAGGACTCTTGTGCCGAAGTAGATTCATAACTACAGTGTGATACTTGCTTAGTTTTTAATTTTTACTTAAGTTGAAGTTCTACTTTTAGCTGCACTTCTATTAATTTATATTTATTTATATCTGACTTCTATGTTGTTACTTATTTAATTGCTAGTTATATACTGTGTAGTAATCTATTATTAACTACACTTGACAAGTTTGTTTACTGATTATATGTTGATTATTTTAAGCTATTTTCTGCATTTTACATGTAGTTTTTATTATTTAATTCTTATTGAAGGCTCGACCTAGTTTATAATTATTATAATATTATTTTAATTTACATTTATTCTATTTGAATATTCACAATAGGCTAATTAATTAAGAACAAATTTTTCTTTTCTATTTAAATTATCTCCATTTCTATTTTTTATTTTTTTGTCTTATATATACTTGTGAAAGTACAAGAACTTGCATGCAGTGTAAGCTGTGGTATTGAACTCTGTTTCCGTGAAAACCACAGTGAAAGAAAAAACCACACCTTACTTTTGTCAAGCCACTTGCTTGCTGGCCAAAAATCTTTTCTCACAGCCTCTGCCTTTACTCCTCCTGGGAAAGGAATTTTCATTCACAGAACTAGCTGCTCCTACCTTCATGGTATACTCGTATTGTAAGGGCAAGAAGCCTGCTAAGAATTCTTCCACACCCTCTAGTACTCAGCCCTCTACCTCTGAGGGTGAGATCCTTTTCTTTATGCCTTAGGACCCATTCTCACTTATACAGCCACATAGCAATACTATTTTTACACTGCCTCACATCAAGGAGTACTATCTGAGAGATGCCACTTGCAATGCCTACATCATGAACTTTTTGTATAAGATAAAACAAGAGAAGCGAATTTGAGCCAAAGTCCTGGCTACTAGAGAAGTAGTAGTTCTGATTGTGAGGATCAACTTAATTCACAAAGACTATTGGTTGGCCATTGATATGCTCACTGAAGAACTTGAAGGCCTGAAGGAGAAGGTAGATAGGGTTAAGTCTGCTATCCCTCAACTACCAATATCTACTTCTATTCTTTTTTGCTTCCAATCAGAAATGTACTATAGGACCAGCTGTGATATCAAATATCCAACCCTTTGCTCGCTTCCCTCCTCCATCCACAACCACTATTATCTTTTCTTAGGTATTGCATCAGCAAGAATAAACCCTGAGTCCTGTGCAGTTGATTTGTCAGATGCACAAAATGATGGAATGCTAACTGTGATTCAGGACCCAAGTAGACATAGTAATCAAAGTCAGGATGTAAGTAGATGTGGCAACCAAGGTCAAGATGTAACAGGATGTAATAGGATGTAACAGGACATAACAGAACATAACAGGACACAGCAGGACACAACTGGAAACAACTAGATGTAATACTTGATGTCAGAATACTACTTTTAAATACAGAAATCGTGGGACACAGGCAATATAAAGCATAACTTATGCCCAAGTTACTGCAAAAAGAGCTTTAATATTATACCTTAAGTCTAATAAACATAACAGGCTGTATTTCTACCAATACTAACGCCAAGTAGATATTTTTTACACCATTAAAAATCTGGCATCAAGTGGGTTTAGGACACAAAGTGTCAGTCTGTGCATCAGGGTATTCAGAATGGAATCTGATTTCAAAAGTTAGCACTTCGCTAGTACACAAAACAGACTGTAACTCCACGGATAATAGTGCTGGAAGGTCATTCTCTACACTGTTGGAAGACTAGTATCAGGTAGGTCTAGGATACAAAGTGTCAGCCTGTATATCAGAGTATTCAGGATGGAATCTGATGTCAAAGTCAGTGCATAGTCAAAGCCTTACCAAAAAAGACCACTTTCATAACAGCTTGTATCTCTACCAGTATTAATGCTGGGAACTCGTTCTTTATACTATTGAAACACTGGTATTGAGTAGGTCTAGGACACAAATGGTCAACCTGTACATTAAGGTATCTATGATCGAATCTGACGTCAAAGTCAGCACTTTACCAGGATACAAAAAAAACTTTAACTCCACAGATTATGGTACCAGAATAATGTTCTTTATACCGTTGGAAAGCTGGTATCGAATAGGTCTGTAATACAAAGTGTCAGCCTGTACATTAGACTATTCAGGGCAGAATCTGGTGTCAAAATCAATACTTTGTCAGGATACAAAATAGACTGTAACGCCTTGGAAACACACAGTAGATAGATATTCTTTAGTGCAATAGAAAGTTAAAATTGAGTAGAATGTTGTCCTAAATTATTAGCTTTGATAGTATAGGAACTGATGAGCAATGGTAGTTGACAGACCTATTGTTGATGTTCTGACCATGATATGTAGTTATTTAGATGTTAAATATGCCGCAGTTTTAGAAAACCTTAACATAACACTCAAGTTACCACTCGATTTAATAATCACAACTATTACTCACTTTTACATTCTACCGGTTGGCCATTTTGGCTCCCAGATTCTTATAGAGACTAAAACAAAATTTGGTACTACACCTCTTCTATGAGATATTTTTAGATTCAGTCCTAGTATCTAGGGAGTATATTGATAGCTAGTATGTAACTTACTGTTATGATTAAGACTTCCTGCCATCTTGTGTCAGAATATCAGCAAGGATCAAGGTTAACCTGGCCAAATTGGTGGGTGAAAATTAGTAGATTCTTACTTAACATGAAATCTAGATATGTTAGGTGCAACTGGATACTCAGGACATCCAGGACGCATGCGATGTGGGCAACTGAACATTTGCATCAGTATGTATGGTCAACACATCTGACACAGGGTTTTTTTTTTTTTTACTGATATCAACATTTCAGTTTCTGTTGATAACATTACCTTACATTTAGCTAATACTCTACAAACTCGCTCCTTGATAGAAGACCTAAAAACTGTACTAGAGATCGCTGACCTTGGAGAAGCAATATTCTTACTCAGCCTATATATAATGTATGAACTGGATGGGATATGTCTTATCCTGGAATAATACATTAACTCAATCCTCTCATGATATGTAATGGAAAATTCCTGTTCTGTTTCTGCACCCTTACTAAAAGGCATCAACTTATAAAAGAGACTGAAGACATGCAGATACTAGACCCTTCTATATACCAATCAATAAACATATTACCTATGTATTTGATGACTGGCAAAAGACCTTATATAGTTTATATGATTTCATTTCTCTCTCAATTTTCTTCTTGCCTTTCTTATTAACATCCTAGCATTTTGTAATAATCCTACTCTGTATGTTAGCTCTTCAACAGGTAATGACCTTACCTCATTGATATCTCGATAGCTCTGAGACTCTTCATCTTCATTACCACTTCTGATAATGCTCATTGTTATCTTCTTAGTCTTGTCTTATCCCGATAAGTGAGACCTCTTTCCCACATAGTATTGCAGGGGATGTTTAAGGGGATAAAAGTATAGATTCAACTTGTAGTATAGGAAAGAACTTAAGTGGTTGTATGAGGAGTCTGCATAGGAGGTCCCTGAACCCACCTATTTATGCAGATACCTCACCCAACTCTAACCCTGTATGACCCATACCTTCACATCACCATATCCTATGACTCACAGCTATGAGTCATGTGAGATCCTCAGCTTACCCATATGAGTCAACAGTGCAACATACAAAAACCAAGCATAAGTATTATAACAAGTTATGTGCACTAATTGTATCACATGCATGAGACTCAGGACTTATGAGTATAGGTCATGCATGAAAGTCATAACATCATATGACTCACAACTGTGAGTTATTGTATAACAATAAACACCTATGACTTATAAGCACAAGTCATATGAAAGCCTTGTATCACCACTCCAATCCGCCTTGATACAACCTGATTTGTGACATACTGCTAAACTGTCATAAATGTGGCTTGGCAGGGAAAAGGTTTTCCCGTGATGCATGGTTATGAGTCACAGGTATGTTATGGTTTCACACTTATGACTCATTTCGGTCATATGATTTGTTATGTGTGGAATTTGTGATGCTGTCGCACATGGCTCAAATATGAGTCAGGAGACATGCACCTGGTGAGTAAAACTTACGAGTGTGTCTTGCAGGTATGCCTTGCATATATGATTTATGTTTAGCACATGACTTCATTCTGAGGTCATGGGCTTCGTGCATATGACTCATTCGAGTCATATGACTTGTTTATTGTGTTATGATTGGTTTACAAGTTTTCACACATGACCTTGCTACGAGGTCATGGGTTTTGAGTATGGGACTATTTGGGTTATATGACTAGTTTATTATAATTTGGTTTCCTGCATGTGACCACTTCGGGTCACATGACCATGGGTGGGAAGAATATTATATAAGGAGGCCAATGCGGCTGAGGTGAATAGGTTCTTCACGCTTTGTTCTAAGAACTTTTCTTACTTATTACTTTAACGAATATAAAACACCTTTACGATCTTTATCTTTATTGCAATGTTATGGTTACGCCAAGGAGAATACTTCACAAAGAAGAGTTAGTGAAAGCTTACCATAGGCATTCCTGATAGAAGACAAAGATCTTGTACTATCGGTAACGTAGGCAGAGGCCTAGTACTATCGTAAGACAAAGAAAAGAAGAAGAAGAAGAGAAGTATCATTCCCCATCGCTAAGAACTAACTATCCGAGGAGGGATCATTACATAAACCTATTTTAAGATATATAAATGAAACAAAATAAATTAGATTATTCTATCCAGATAACAAGATAAACAGATAAATGCTTATGCGGATGTCAACTTTGCTACATGTCTAGATACCTGCTACTCCTTCTCAGGATATATGATACTTTTCAGCTATTTATGTATCTCCTAATGCTCCAAGAAGCAAGCCCCTATTAGCACATCCACTACTGAAGCTCAATACATTGGGATGTTTCAGAGCGCCCAACAAATTTAATTGTTACAGAAAGGTCTTCATAACATTCAACTTAATATACTAATTGCATTACATGTAGCTACTACTAGTGTAATCTTTCTGGCAACAAACTATCAACTTGGCATGCAGACCAAATATATCAATATCTACTTTTATAAGATACAAGAGGAAATCAAGCACTGTTCATTCACTCTCCTTAAAGTTGAGTCCTTGGACAACCTTGCTGACATTTCTACCAAAGTTTTAGCAAAACCGGTACAAAACCGAATTATGTAACTATTGGGCTGTAGGTAATATGAGAAAGTGTTGAAATTTCTTGATTCATTTTATATCTATATTTACTTGATAATAGTGTATATTCTCTCATACTTGATTAGTGTTTCGGCAAACATAAACACTGTATACATTACTACAGCTATGATATATTTTACATTTTTTTATTAATATTTAGTAATAATGATTAGGGATTATGTATGTGTTACTTTCATTTGTTTACGGGATATTTCATCATCTTTATGTATTTTCTTAGACTTTACATCTGTGATTATTTCTTCAGACTTACTATAATTTCCCTTATATTTTCTCTAATTCAGGTATACTTTATGAGAATATCTTGGCATATTCTCATGGTTAAACACATTTGCCCTTATGTTTTTCCTACTTATGCTACAGTTTTACACTGTTGCACTTATATTTCTCCCTTTTATTTCTTTATTACATGAGATTTATATGGAGAATGTAAACCTGTATATATAAATGCTATATCCTACTTCATTTACAAATAATTAAGGACAACAATCTCTACCGGTTTACCTTTGTATCTTTTACCTCCTCACTAGAAACATACCTGTAATATTCTCTTTATATTACACCCGTATAGTTTACATTGCTATTAAGATCATACTGTTCACAAATTTAATACATACAGATTCAACATCCTATTTTGAAAGAAGATTTGACTTTTATTAACCTAATTGAGATATCATACTTTTAGTACTATGATATTTGGTCATATGATAATAGGGCTGAAACCTAACCCTGTAGCAGCTTCACTGAGATAGAGTAGACGTGACTCGAAATGATAAAACTTGGAAGAAATGTCAGAATTAGAGATAAACTTGAACAATAGATTGTAGCATGGATTAGTGAAATGAAGAGGCCACAAGTAAGGAGGAACGAATTAAATACCGTAGTCAAGTTATGCACCTAGTGGAGAACAGTGTAGTCTTGGGGATGACGAGTAAGATGATAGAGGGTGGAGGATGAAACCAGTAGGATCCTGTAGAAGAAAGGAGAACTCGATTTCAAATATGAGTGGTAAAGCAGACTCTGGAGGGGATAAATGTCGTGACGAATCAAAGCGAATCGTTACGAATGCGTCCTCTGGCCTAATGGTAGCGGTGGAAATGAGGGCGACGAGTCCGCTTTTCCTCTAATAATACTGGCCTTTTCCAAGTGTGCTAAAAGGAGGCGGAGTGAAGAATTGAGGGAACCTATGAGTGAGTGCCCATGGCATACATCATGGGTTCTCACCATCCTGAGCCGTCGTCGCTGATCACCCGGGTCACCGGAGCTGGGTCTATATATCCTCAGGTACTTCTCTGACGAAGTGGTATGAGGGGACCTGGTTAAGATCTAGATCTGGCGGGAGTCTGATTAAACGTACTTACTAGCCCCCGAACTCCTGGATTCCCAGATGATAGATGCTTCTACCCCAACCTTGTAGGGCGGGGTTCTTGTTACTCCAAAATCCTGGAAAGGAAACAAAAAAAAAAACCAGACGCCTAAATAGTGAAGATACTGAAAGCATGCTTCTTTTGGGATTGATGGACTGACTCGGGGCAGTTAAGAAACTCTCAGTGTGGCTGCATATTTTGGCTACTATTGCTGGTGCGTGGATTTGCACTACTAATTCTTGAAAACTCGATATAAGGGCTTACAGGGCATAGGATGTGGAGTTTGCATCGATCTAGAATGGTGGTGCTTTGCTCCATGAGCTGATGTGGACTGTGTTTCCCTCAAACCTTTTGAGCGAAAATTTATCTGATTTACCGCAATGCACTCTCCACAGGATGTTATCCGTTATACTTCTCGGGCGATTAATATGGGAGGCCCTTGTGATACTTGCGCGCAGAAGCCCTATTAGCACATCCGCCTCTATATCGAAGATATCACACACAATCTCGACTCAGCGTTTGCAGTCCTATTAGGCACGAATTTATCCTAGCATCGGACGCCCGGCCTTGGTAGCACAAGTACTGTACTGTACTGTGGAATACAAACAGCCTTGTACGGTACTGTACTGTACAATACCGATGCTCCAAGATCAGCAGTGGCGTGACGGGCAAGCTTACCCCGCCTCAACGGTAAGTTAAGCTGAGCTTATCATCAGCCTCTTGTGAACCCGAGCACGCTTTATTCACGTCGGACAGAATAATCTGAGGCTCATTCCAATCGATAAATAACGGCACTCAAGCTAACCGAGGGCGGGAAGCCCTAGAAAGAATAAAATAAAACGAGCAATCATGTCTCAACTGAGACTCCTTGAGGACGCATTTCGTGAGGTATGATCACTGCCTTTTGGATGTCCTTTCAAGTAAATGATGACAGAGTGGTTAATTTGGGGTAGTTTCTCAACATTGAGGAGAAGCAAGAGATCCCCGCTGTGATACAAATTAGGGAAATCTCCACTACTCTTAACATAGTTGGTGAGGCAACATGGAAAGCGTCCATCCAGTGCGACGAAGGTCGTTTCGTCAGGATGGTTGAAGTAAAGAATCCATTCAATGCGAACGATGAGGAGAATCTTGAATGGTATCTTGAGGAGTTTGCGACTACATCACCCCTTTCACGATCGAGGGCTCATGAGGTGTCTTCCAATTTGAAGGAATATGCTGCCGGGTTGATAAAGGGGTTTGCATTGGAGGAAGTCGTCAACCACATACGGGCGCAAAATGCTGTGGGGGAGGAACCGGGAATCACGTTCTTTCTTGATGTGGAGACTTTGCCTTCGGAGTCGGCCAAGTCATCTCTGCATATTATACATTGGGAAGTGCTCGAAAACCTTGATCTTTGGCCACGGGAAATAAAGGGACGGATAGTGGTTCGCAGGAAGGTCGCGGATTTGGAGTTGAAACAGTCTTCTCCCGTGGATCTCGTTAACGGGGCTTTTAACATACTGCTGGTAGTGGCGAGGAACCTAAGCATAGGTGAGGATGAGATCGGCCATACTCTTGTCGCAGCGGAACTAGTTAAAGTCCTAGTGGATCTCCCGATCGAAACACCCGTTGATCTGGAGATTGTGAGACCGGGCACATGGGAGACGTTCAAAGCAAAGTTGGAAGCAAGGCCGAGGGGTTACTACCGATTGGTTCATTTTGACCTGCACGGAAGGGTGCGAGTGGATAAGCTGGCAGGAGAGAAAGCGTTTGTATTTTCATGAAAAAAATAAAGGGTGTTGGTGCGAGTGTTCTGACGCAGCGTTAACAGGTCTTCTTTATGTTTTGTCTCCGATAAGGATCCTACGGGGGTAACTTGGAAGTCTGCTTCTGACGTCGCTGACCTACTCTATCTGCATAATGTGACCTCCGTCATCTTGAATGCTCGCAACTCGGCCGACGCCAGTGAGGAAAGTGTCGCACTCAAATTTATCAATCGTGGAGTTTCTGCGGTTGTGGCTGTCTCTTATGAATTTATGGCTAGTGCTGCGGGGTCTTTTATGACGGGTTTCTACCGCTCACTATTAATAGACAGATCTAGCTTCGCTGTGGCAGCGCATGCTGGACGGGCAAAAATGATGAAGCAGAAAATGAGAGATTCTTCTTATGGAATTCGGGTACCTGTAGAGGATCATATGGTCCCGGTATTTTATCAGCGCGGAGAGCTGGCCGCGATTAACTGGGATGTCATGAGGAAACTGAACATGATTCTACTGACGAATGGGCTCAAAGCTCCCATGAATCTAGTAGGTAGGGAACTGGACATCTTGAGACTCGAGACACTGCTTCTTTGCGGGGATGGCATTGCTGCGGTTACAGGGAGGAGAAGAGTTGGTAAGAGGAAAAAAAACCGTTACACTCTCCAGCGAAACACATACTGACTGGCAGTGATTATTGGCAGGTAAAACCGCTTTATTAAAACATTTGTGCTGGTGGTGGAATATTACTGGATTAGTTAACCATAGTCAGTATATAGATCTTGAAGCAACACAAGATACCTTCTGCGAAATTTTACTCCTGCTCTACCGGGACGCCATTGGCATGCCAACAATATTGGAGATGGAAATGATAGTAGTCCCAGACGCCCGCGAAACTGATGCGTATTGGCGGCTAGTAAACTGGTTGCAGTTGAACCACCATCTGATCGTTTTCGATGGTGTCGAACATTGGAAGCCAGAGATTCCCGAAAAGGTCCAACCAGCCGATCGTACCGGGCCGACCTTTTGGAATGCCCAACGACGCGCTCTGGAGAGTTTTTTGGAGGATGTTAGTGGTGGGGAAACGATTGTGATAGTCACAGCGGAGCTCAATTCACCTTGGGTGGATATCAACCCGTACGCCCTAGAGGGATTGTCACCGTGAGTTGTCCGCGCCATGAGTGTAAAGGAGCAAGTTACTGAAACATTCTATCCAGATATTATATGGCGTCGCTACTACCGATTGAATTAGAAAAATCCAATGAAGAAACGGTCCTCGGACCAGGTGCGAACTTCATGGAATTTTATGCTCAGCTTATTGAGCTCTGCGATGGTCTTCCAGGGGCCGTTACAGAATTCTCGTGTAAGCTCCCCCTCAATATTAAGGAAAATACTCCGGAAGAGGTATACTGCAGAAGCCTCTTAGCGGTTCCCGCGGCTGCAGGTCGGTACAGCTCAGATTGCGCGAGGGCTGAATTTGTTCAGTCTTTAATCCCTCCCAATTCAGATGAGGCTCCCCATTCTGATCTGAACCGTTTGATATATATCATTGCTCCGTTCTGGGGACGTATCCCGAAAAACATCGACGACTACCTTATTTTTATCTGTTTTCATGGATACTTTAATCGTGACGACCCTAAAACCCTCTGCCTGCCAATACGGAGGTTTGACGCTAAAAACCCCCGCGATCTGAGCCCGGAGGAGATAAAAAGGGTAATGGAACTTCTTGGCCGCTCCAAGATACGCTCCGAATACCATCGCATAACCTCCTCCCTGCAGGAAAAAGGCTATCTCACAAAGGACAAATTCAAGCCAGATCAATATTATAGGGTCAACCCAGTTTTGACGTTGGCGCTTCGTGGAGTGATATTCGGTGATGGACACCTAAGTACTGTGGCACACGCGCGTGCGTGTCTCGCTGCATTCTTGGACTACTACAAAATACAAACCCTCAAGGATAATTGGGGTAGCCGTATCCAGCTCGAGAAGACAAGCATTTACTCCATCATGATAACTCTCTCGTGTCTCCCGCCAACCCTTAGTGGGCTTTCATTACTGCCCGTTAGGCCTATGCTATCTCTGATATCGACCTACCAGGCCGGGCGCGGTGGGAGCGATTGGCATATCCTAGATGCCATCTCTGAAATGTTGATCAATTTGTTCGACTCATTCCTAGCGACAGAGCGGGATATCCCGTTGGAAGCCGTTTTCACCGCTTATAAACTCGTCTTCCACTGCTCGAACTACCTCTGTTCCAGATACAGGAATGCAGACGGCGCGACAGATAAGTTCATCGAACAGGTCAAAAAATCGAACGAGTACTCCAAGCTTTCCGAAGCATTACCGGAAAGCCTCCGCGAAAACTTGCTCATTGCGAACTTCATGGCTGCCACAATGAGCGCACAAGTTGCAGACGCGCACAGAGAACTTTTGCCGGGGGCCTTTGTGTACGAAACCATGGGGGATGTATCCGGAGCCAACCGCGAAGCTCACAAACTTCTCGAGTCGGATCCTAGAATCGACTTCCAAGCTGAGGGTAACAGCGACGCAGCGCAGGATTTCAGAAGATTGCAGCACTTGCGGACACTTTCACTTGAGTTCGACATGAAAAATGTTCGCGGCTGGTCTAGCAAAACGGAGAAAGCCAAGGCGCAGAAATCAATAAAAGAAGTCTGCAATGAGCTCCGGGGATCAGCAGCAAAATTGGGACTGGACCTTACGTATATCGACGGCTGGCTGGCCGTGCATGAAGTAAGAGTGGGGGTCATTACCCTCACTGAGACACTAAGCAAGCTAGCCAAAGCCGAAGCGAATGACCCGAAATACCTCCCCGGGTCCGCGATCATGGAAGCGGAGATAAAGAGAGACAGCGGCGACATTGCTAGTGCGAAGGAAATTCTGCTCACAGCACTGGAGCATTGCCGGGAAGGAGGTTCTGCGCAAGGGGAATTATTGTGCCACGGCCGATTGCAAGAAATCGCCTACCTCACCGGTCAATGGGGCGACACGATCACACACAACGAACGGATGATAGAGCTGGTGGATATTGTCTATAGCCGCGATACCAAGGAAAAGCGAAGAGCGGACAAAGCAGTACTGGCGGCCCATTCTGCGCTTGCACACATCCACCTCAGGCAGTGGGACGAAGCCATTGAATGTGTTCTGTACACGATACGCATCTGCCAGGAAGCGCCCGTCGACGACCCAAATGCCTTCCTTCTTGACAGGGTCCAGGCCGAACAACTAGTCATCCTAAGGTACCTCCGGTACCACCACCCGGACCATGAAGACCTCCCTTCCTCGGCGGAAATCAGGAGACAGCAACTTGCCCTCCAACGAAAGCTCGATCCCGCGATGGCAAAGAAGATGGATGATCCAGCGGTGAGGAGGATGGAGGAGATTAAGACGCAACTTAGCCTCACCGTAGCGATGAGCCCCAGGGCACAATGGGCCGCTGGAAGGGAAATATGGGACAGCGATGTGCCGATGTACGACGACGGCATACCGTTGCACACGAGGAACTGGGGTGTCACGGAGTGGTGGGAGGACAAAGAGGAGGATGCGGAAGCATTAGCTCTGGTGAAGGAGTATCATGATTCCTTCCAGTACGATCCTGAGTCTGCGCTGTTTGGCATTAGTTTGGATGAATCGAAAGCATTGGAAGGGCTGCTACCCGGGGTTTGAAGGGGAAATTGAGTTAAAATTGAATCGAAGGAGGAGGGTTTTCCTTGCTGTGAAAGTTTGCTTTTTAGTTGACTAGTTAAAATATTAGCACGGTCATTCTTTTACCCCCATCAGACAACAATGGCGGGCTTCCTAGCTATATTCATATCCCAACCACCACATGATAACAGCTCCATCCCAACTTTCAGGAAATGAATTTTCAGACACTCCATATTTCCCACCACATACGTATCCCACTATCCTAATCCTAGTACTCGTAGATCACGTAGAGTAGAAACTAGAGGCCTGCACGGCACCACACCTCTCTGCATGGCACCCACACCCTCTATCCTATCTGCAACCCAACCATTAAAACTCTCCCTCCCTTCCAATACCCGAGTGACACCCCGTGAGCCTCCCCTCGAGTACCGTACGAGTACGGTCCGCCACACACACCAACTTACATCTCGCGAGTCCATAGGTTCCCTTCCCGATCATAAAAACCCGGGCCCAGAATTCCTACCGGAAACCCCATTTTAGCGCGATACAAGTAACGTTGCAAAAAACACCCCAAGCTACAATACGAAAATACATTCGCATCCGTTCAACTATATCACACTAGACCTCAGCGCAAAAAAAAAAAGGTGATCGGCGCCACATGGATGCGATTGAGCATTAGCGCATCGCTTAAGCCTACTCGACACGGCTCATTCTTCAATTGATACGAGTAGAGCGAGTACGAGTACGGTAGTCGAGTCGAGTCGAGTGCGGGGGATGGAGTCTCTGAGCTCCTGAGGGGGGCTGAAGGAAGGAGGCGTTTTTACCCTTCTGGTGTGCTATGTCTTACCCGTTGTGAAAGTGCGAATGATTTTCTCGGCTAGATAGGCGAAGGGCGGGATGTACAAGTACTCGAGTATGGCAAGGCACTGTTTCCCGCAGAACCTTTACATTGGGTAATTGTATCATATCCGGGAGTGTACGGTATGGTATTTTACCGTTGGTTGGAGTTATGTTTTGCGTGTTGGCTTACAGGGGATGTTATGGGGGGGGCGAAAATGATAATATTATGATAACCGGTTCATTTGTATGCTGTCAGGACGGGTGGACGGGAGGTACTGCACTTGTACGATACTGTTCTTTACTCGAGTCGTGAGAAGTGCGAGAATGATCGACTACGAGTACTGTACTGTACCGTACCCAAGACACCATGCCTTATTTATGTGAGGGTGAGATGCAAAAAAACCGTCCAGCTCAAAGTGAAAGTCTTGGTCTAATCTAAAAGTGCAAGTACCTCGAGAACAACTGTGTTATCGCAACACACTCCATTCTCTCGAGTATTCCCTCGAGTAAAAGTATTATATGGCACTGCGTGTGTATGGTGAGTCCCGCGGTTTCCGCGGTTTCGTGTTGGCTCGGATCGAATCTTATTGGGGTTCTATTATGACGCGACAGTAGTGGGGCGGGCGGGGGAAGGATACTTGTACGGTTGTTGGGCTTGGGAGTGGCGTTTTTGCGTGAGCTGGGCTCTCGATCGGGGATTTATAGTACCCATTGGTGACGAGACGAGGTCGGTCGGTCGGTCAGGCCCACTCGCTATGAAAGAGGGCGAGGGGGAGGGAGGGAATTCCCACGCGTGGTACTTTTGGGTAGGCGAAGGTTGATGTTGCCTTAGAGCGAGGGAGTGAGAGCCAATGGTGAGTAAGTTACCCTGTTGTGATTAAAATACTACCGTATTTTATCCCCGCCCGGACTGAAGGGCTTTCAAAGTCTAATACCCTGCGAGCACTATAGAGCTTTTCTGGACTCCCAATTTGGTTTCTGAGGGAAAATTTTTAAGTTGGCCAAGTCAGAGGCACCGTTCCAGTACGGTAGGGGATACCGTAGTGAGGGGGGTTGGGCTGGACAGACTTCCACCCCCCCCTTCCTTAGGATTAAAATTTCTGGGATTCTTGGGAATACAAACACCTTTTTGCCCAGGTATCAGTGGAAGTATCATACTCACTACCGTATTTCTATGATACCTTGCGCCATGACCTACCAAACTCAACCGATTGTAAAAGCGCCGGTACCCCACTGTTACTATATGACGTGTCGATCCTGGCTTAACCCCCAGGCTTTCAACTAAGATTGAGACTCGTACCAATAATGTATCATCCTCGAGTTACGGAAACCGTTCTCCTGGGACTCGGGGGAAGGGGCAAAGTATTGAATAGCCTGTTGTCTGAGTGGAATTGCTTTATTTAGGTATTTCCATGAGTTTTTTAACTCGGATTCTACGGTACACGCTTGAGCAATATCTGGTAGGAATTGATGCCCTTTGTGGGAAGTTTGCGCGATTCCGCCACTGATTCACTCCCACACAAAACCCCCAGCCCGCCCCAATACTCGTACCGGTACTCCAAGAACAGTACTGTACTCGTACTAGTACCCCCGCGCCGAGTACGTTACTCAACTGTTGGTTTTTGTTTTTCCATTCATATCTTTGCTTCTCCCTCCTCACGAAGTTCGTGCTGCGACACATTATAACGCGAGGGCCCACCAAAGAGCAGATCCTCAGCGCCGGGGTCCGGATATCTTTGAAATTCGTGAGCACCGTACTCGAGGACAAGACCGATGCCAAGTCGTTATCTAGTGTTCTTTTGGAGGTTGTGGCCATGTCATTACTACCGTAACACAATTCAGGGATTGTAAGGGCAAAAGTAAAAAGTAAGCTTAAGGACAGAGTGACTTAGCCTTTATCGACTATCATAATCCCAGAACTGGCTGCCTATCAGAGCCCTGGAAATGTGGGCCAGTCGTGTAGGGCCCTTGGCACGACTGGTCTGGGATTACAGTCGCACCTGGCTATAGTGAACCTCGTTGTAGTGAATCCGGGGCTATAGTAAACCGGGCACACAGGAAAAACAGGTTCCCACAAATAATATGTTAGCTATAGTGGAAAAAAACCCTATAGTGTAGTGAACAGGAAATAGTAAATATGCAGGGGTATAAAAATCAAAACTCATGTAAATTTCAATGGCTATAAGGAACAAAAGGAGTGAGAGTTATAGACTATCCCATTTATGGACAAGTGGGAGTACTCCAATTAAGGGTATACAGTATCACAATTCTACTTATTATCCTGTATCCATCCAGGAAGGATATCGCCCTCAAGTTCTGGCTGGAACTGTGGGCCAGGAGACTCAGCCACATGTAGACTCTGTGAATGGTCAGGAGGTGGGTCTAGGATGAGAGCAGAGACAATAGGAGAAAAGTAGAGGAGTTGAGAAGAAGGTTCCGGTGTTGGGGATAGATCAGTGGTGCTTGATGGCCCTGAGATTAACTCCAGCAAAATTGTGCTAGCACTTGCCGGCCATAAGGAACCAAGTTGAAGCCAATTGTTAAAGTTAACTTATTTCTTGTTCTTAACTTCATGCTCCTGAAAGCCTTGGTGTATTTTCCAAAGCTGGTAGATTACCATAGGTATTTCTAATAAAGATCCAGAGATAGGAAGTATATCGGTGAGAAACTGTTGAAGAAGTGTAACGATGATGTTAATATGGGCCTTGGCAAGAGGGATAGAGATCATCTCAGGTAAATCGTTTCTGGTAATGTGATAGGTAGAGGAATCACTCTTACTACCACTTCCTTGACCTCAATTTTGCAGGTCATGTATGATATCAGTTGTCAATATACTATCTGAACTTATATCAATGTCTGGAGCATCTTCATAATCCAAAAATGAGTTGGCAAGTCACTCAACCTGCTGACTATTACAGCTAAATTCAGGAAGAGAGCTGATAGATATCTGGGTGGCTTGTCAAATCTTTTCCATATACTCAGTATAGGAGCCATGCAAACTGTGGTTAATGGCTTCCACCAATTCCACCTTTTGCCAACAATGAAAAATAACACTAGTAGGCAGTTCCTTCCAAGCCTTTGATATCATATACATGACTTGTAGTACATCTAGCTTTGGAGCAGCTGTTCCAGTCCTTTCAAAGAAGTCCACTATATGAGTAACATATTTCGGTCAGTAGATCGAATAATTCCAGTATCAAGTAGCTGTAACCAAGCTGTTATATTTAGAGGCAAATAGAATAGAGTAATATAGTCTAAAACATGGGGTTTTGGACTAGTACATTCAATAGCTGGTTTCTCTGGAGGTGGGTAGGTTAGTGCATTATCAGTTATCAAGGCAATATGTCTACCTTAAGTTTTTATATCCTCATTGAGCTTTCCTAAAAACTCGTACTAGATGCCTGAGAGCATCTAGGCCTTCTTATTGGATTTGTATACAATAGGCAAATTGTCTGAATTGATTTTTGCTTTTTGAAAGGTAATAGGAGTTTTGGATTTATTAATTAGCCAGGCCCGTATTAGGAATACCAGAACCCGATACCTAGGAACCACTCTAAGTAGGGTAACCCCACTCAGAATCATAATCTCTGGTCTCCAACACCCCCCTCCGGCTTCCTTACGGGGCCCGCGCATCATCATATATATTAATCTCAGTTGCGTCCTGTGACTATATTACCACAGAGTTGAAGGTGTCAGAATAACACCATATACGTCGTCGCCGTCTGTCTGACCGGATCCTGTTCGCAGGATATATGAGAGGGGAACTTCGGCTAGGTCTGGGAAGTGGAACTGAGTAATTCCGTCAACTACTCAGAAAGTTACTTGGCTTCAAAGACATGACACCTTTGGCATGGGCCTTAGGTAACAGGACGATTTCGCACAAAGAGATGGTATCAATTGGTAAAGGATCTCTACTAGAGACTAATACATTTACATCCACCAGAAGAGTCTAGAACTCCAAAAGACACTACCAAAGAAGCCAATGAACTTCATGGAGTGTTGCAACTGGGTTTCGGAATACGTCGTAGCCATGGGGTAATTATTAATACTACAATAGTTACTGAAACCTACAACCCAGAGAGCAACCAAGGATTGCCGACCGAGGGATTAATTACCAATCTGGTGAAATAGCTTCCTGCAAGTTAATAGGAAGTCATCTAAAGAAAATCTATTGGTTGGGTATTGAGTTACAAAGGATTGGAGTCAGACGACCTACGATGGTTGTAATGATGACCACCTTTACAGATATAGCCGTGGATTAAACTGATCATTTTATCAATGGCGAAGACAA